CCTATAGTTCATTGATTTGGACGAAATCGGTTCATGTTTAGATATAGCTTCCATATTTTCATTTGATCCAATCGGACGATTTTGTGCACAACGTACCAACATGGATATATACTATTTTCGTCCTCGATTTCATACAAATGACACACTAAAGAACCAAAGTCTGCCCGATTGACATTCAATTTTTCATAGATTTCAGAGTGATATTTGTATGGGTTGATTTAAACTGGTTAAAATGTCACATTTAATGGCCAGATCTGAGAACTACTGTAGTTGGGTAAATATTTATATAAAGACCACCACGAGGTTTAAGAAGGAAAAAATCAATATCATAAATGTATCTATGTTCATATCGGCAATTTTTTACTACAATTCCCCATTCTTTCTACATGCATTGTTTGAATAAAAATGTTCAAAATATATATATTTCCTTTGTGTTATCTTTTGACGCAAAGAGCATTTTATTGTCGGGTCCATTAGTTATTATTATTCGCATGTAATTGTTTTACTAATTAAAAACATTCAACACAAAAATTAGCAAAGCAAATTCTCATCTTAGATTCCAGTAAAGTAAAACACAAAACGAAAGATACGTGAGATCTTCTTTAGTGGTATTGCTATTTACGCTACCAGCCAGCTACCTGCGTAGCTGTAATTAAAACAACGTTCACTGATAAGCCTGATGCATGCTCTTGTGCATTTTACACTCGCTGATAGCAATGCATGACTGCTGATGACTGTGAAGAAATGTACAGAGATCGGAGGGAAGGACGACTACACACACATTAGAAAACATACAGACCTCCCACAAACATTCAGACCACAAGCTGTAGTGTAGCGAACACGTCTGTATGTTTTTAAAAGTATAGAATTATTAGGAGGCTCCAGTTACTTTTGCTTTGCTTTCAAAATATCAGTTAGTCTGTCAGTGTAAGTCAACCAGCCATCCATTGAAATTAAAACGCCAGTTTATGTCAAGCATCAGACGATTAAATAAACAACAGCTTGCATGGTGTGCAATGTAGTTACATTTGAATAGATAATAAAAGGTGATGGACGACGAATGGCGCCAAGATTGTTTTTGAATTGTTTATGTAATGTGATGCGTTAAGCATAATAATTTGATATAGTTGGGTATTCCTAAGTTAGAATTGGTACGGAATAGTAGTATAGATTATCAATCAACTATTTTAAGGGAGTTCTACTAGACCCACTTGGATTATCTCTTCACAGTACTCGTGCTAGATCTAATCTAAGGAGGACAATATACTCCTTATGGTATCATAATGGTCCTAAGTTCATTTTACTATCTAAATTCATGTGAGTGGCATTCCAAGTACTTGGACGGTAAACAACTTTTAAGTCCATGTTCTCACACAGCCTCAATCTATATGGCACCCTATTTTATGTATTTCCGAATGTCGTGGCTGTAGTTTGTCATTTCTGTCTTCAATAAAGATATATGTCATCCATGATCTCATTTTATCAGGGAGAAATTAAATGTTTAGGGTGGACCGGAGATTTTTATACCCTATACCATAAGGTGGGATGTATACAAAGTATATCGTTTCTTGATCAGAATAAAATTGTATGTCGCTTTACGCTTGTCCGCCTGTATGTCTATCTTTTCTGTTGAAATCAGGATAGAGATCGCAATATTTAAGATAGAAACTGAAATTTTGCACAGACATTGCTAGTACTCCTAGGATGTTTGGTATATGACATTACCCCCAATATTCAGTATTTCAGTATTCAGTATAGATTCGGCCCAAGATAGGTAAGCTCCTGCATATATCTTCTTTAATTTTAGCTAAAGTGTGCAAAAAAAATCCCAAGTCTGTCCTATTGAGACGAATTTTTTTTTATTTTAATCAACTCAGTATAAATTTATGTGACCCGACCGATTTTACATATTTTGAATGGCCACTTCATGATCAAAGCAATCGAATGTTTAGGGTCGGCCGAATATTTTTACTAATATTGTACTATTTATACCCTACACAACTATGTTCTCAGGGTATTATAGTTTTGTGCAGCCCCAAAAGTTTGTAACGCCGAGACCCACATTTAAGTATACCGATCGTCATATCTCGACTAGCTGAGTCGATCTAGACATGTGTGTCCGTCCGTCTGTCCATTATAATTTGTAAACACGATACAGGCCACAGTTATGGACCAATCTTCATGAAATTTTGCATGTAGGATGGGTTCTGGCCAATGAAGACCCCTATTGTTTTTGATAAAGATCGGTTAATATTTAGGGGATGAAATGGACCAAATACTAAATTTTTGTCGGGTTTTCTGCTCGCTCCAGAGGCCGCAATTATGGCGCGAACATCGCGAAATTTTACATGGAGAAGGGGATCGGACCAAAGAATAAGCAAAGCTGTTTTGATAAAGATCGGTCAATATTTAGCGGGTCAAATGGACCCTGACTTTTGTGTGAAAAATTACAAAATTTTTATTCTGGGACGTATATACTTGCTCCTGAAGGACATATACCCGAGAAGTTTAGATGAGTTGTTGACCTTCATATTGATACCAATTATATGGTTGTATGTACTCCGATGCGGGAGTTCTACGTAATTAAGTAAAGGTGACTATCTGCATATTATGACTATTACTCCATTAGAGGACGGAAATGTCGCGCTGATCGCTTTGAAATTGTACATGAAGTTCCGATTATGGTCTAGGACGACGCTTATAGTTTTCGATGAAGTTGAGATTTCATTCAGGGGGTGCAATGAACCGAAAACTTTAATTTTGTCAGATTTTCTAGTCGCTTTAGAGGCAATTACTATATACAGAACATCATATATTTTACAAGGTGAAGGGGATCTGACCAAATACTTAGAGCGGCTGTTTAGATGATGATCGGTCATCGATGGCGTAAAAATTCTCTTCAAGAAAAAAACATTTTGGAAAATATGCAAGACTGTAAAAAGGGTGCAAATATCACGAAATATTGCCCAGGCTCAGAATATAGAACCGCCGAAAGTGTGATTTTCGTGGTAGTTGTGTAGAGTATCATATGGTCGGCCCCGTCCGACTATACTGCTCCGCTCACTGGTTCTTAAATCGTATACTATTTTTTAAATCGGATCAGATACATTATGTCCCAGATTGTGTGATAATCTAAGTCTGTTCGAAACCACACGAAACTGTCTATATTTTATCCAACTGAGTATAGAAAGCTGTGTGTGTTTGGTCTTAGATAAATAGACTCAGATTTCGATATAGCTCCTACATGTATCAAATGCATACCAATGAATGGGCTCAAAAATGCCTCATGTTTAAGAATATCTTAAAACAATTTAGAAGTTATGATCAAATTACCAATCATACTTCGAAATTATTAACAATCATACGCACCATCGTCCAAATTAATAATAATCACATTCCTCACGTTCCATAGAGATTTTTATTAGCACTATACGTCCAATGCATACACTGATTGTTATATTGCATATTCGGAAGGGATATAATTACATTTATTTTAAAATTTGAATATCTATTTGAGATTTTCCTCCAAACTTTTATTCATCACAATGTCACTTGTATTTTTTACTCTTAATTCTATTCAGCTCAAAAATGCCTCAAAAATGCCATTTGAGAATATCGTAAAAAACAGTATTTTTATTTTTCCCTATAGAACATTTTTGTTTGAGAATATCTGAAAAACTGTGGGAGTTATGGGAAAGTACCACAAACTTACCACAATAACAAAGGAATGCACTATTTTCAATAAGCATTTGAAAACTATATGGTCAATGTAAATTTTAATTGTCATATTCTGAAGTTCGTTTATAGGGAATACGTTATTCAAAATTGGTCATCTTAATTTTGAATTTGTAAAATCTTCTAACGAGCTGGAAACTCAAATATTATAAAATATGTAGTAGTTATAGTCAAATGACCGAATATTTCACAAAATTATTAACAATCATACGCACCATTGTCTAGAATTAATAAAAATCATACGTACCATGCTTCATAAAAATGCTTTATGAATTCTATGCGGAACTTGAGCAGATGTCAAAATCGTCTCTGAATTTTACATTGATAAAATATAATATAAATGCCTTTATCTGCTTGGAAAATTTAGTGTCATTTGCAAGCATGTAGCTGTACCGAATGTATGACATCTGACTAGAATATATATTCAGGTGCTATACACACATCAGGAGCAATTCTATTCCAAAGGTGTTCCATCATAAAAATGATTTACATCCAAAAGATTTCAAACATACTAAATCTTTACCACCTTGTGATTCTTATTGATCTTAGATAATACCTCACAGAAATCACAGCATCCTTATATCAGTTACAGTATTTGATATTATACGTGCACCTATACACACATACAGTGTTATAAATGTACACGTGCATCTTATGATTGTGTTGTTTTGTGGGCCAATTTGTGGTAGAGAATCGAAGCCATTAATCTTGAAAACAAGGTCTGATAAATCAGATATTATCGATGAAATGTGAGTAACACGTTATTGTCATGGATAAAATTGAAATGAAACAACAACAACAATGATAGAGACATATCTTACCTATGTACAGTGTGTCGACAATAAGTTTGCATAAAAAAGTTAAGTAACAAAACCAGAGGTAAACAGAGGCAAGATATTGCAATCAGTCTTCGGCAAGATATTGCAATCAGTTTTCGAATACCCAAATCCAGAACTTTAAATTAATTTGTATTGCATATGAACCAAGACTAAAACAAACACCGACTTCGGGAAAATTTTGAAGATTGTAGCTACAATATTAAACTTCCATCATGCATCACAGGCAGTCCATGACACTACTTTTGCCCCACACTGTAATTGATTACGTTACTACTTCACGTGAATAGTTGTGGCAAACGAAATAAGTGGGCGAAATGATAAATTGAAAATTTATAAATTTTGTGCACATGAAGTGCAACATTCAGATGAAATTGAAATGCAAAAATGGAATCACAAACACCCTAAATATATTATATGTGTACACATATGATCTCCTACATGCGTGTGGGTTTCGGTGTTCTTTTTGGTAAATTTATTAGGATGGGTACGAAGATAATCATGAAGTGTGAGAATTAGATATACATATTACAATTATAGTTTGTCAATAACTCATGGCATTCTGAGCACTTCATATCTCCTAAATATTTTCTTCACACATACACACAAATAATTTCTTTACACTTAATAAATTACTTCAAAAATCTAACGACCTAGATTAGTATTTATATAACATATTATTTACAACTCGTTTGTGATTTTTCAATTAAGTGGAAATAAGAGATACGCTTCGGTACGTATGTACATATGTATGTACATAAATATCAACAAAATTACTTTGGAGATTTGTATGTTAACCAGTTTACAGTTTTCTAAATGAATGAATTCCAAAAACGTAATGTGTATTCATTATTTTAAAATTAAATACGATATAAATATTTTATGTTTTAGTAGTGCATATTAAATTTGTAATTGTGTTTGCAACGCATCACCCCCATACAGTATTTGATCACAATCAAATTCTATATGAAATTAGTCATGTCCTTTCGTCTGTTTCAGTAATCATACAGATGCAATTATTCACAAATTTTACTACTACTACTCTTATGATGTTTGATAATGGGATTTATAGCCTGCATATATAATAAAGCAGTGCAGAGTGGCCACAGTTATTATAGCCTCAAAATCAATGGAGGCTTTCAAATGAGACTATTTCATGATAAATTGCTACCAGGACATAATAAATAATCAATCTACAGGAACACAAATTAATAAATTAGGCTAGACCTTGAACTTACCAAAGGTGGAGATATAGCCAAAGGTACACCGGTACACCGAATTGTAATTAACAAGGATTTGACTCCCAATGAGAACTTTAAAATTTGAAATTCGTGTCAAGCTGGTCCAAATGGGATGACCTCAAACTACGGAAATTTTGGGAAGGCATTACAAATATGATCGCGATGCTTCAAAAGACGCTTATAAAGTCAACCAGGTGTGTAGGAGACCAAAACTAAACAGCAATGAACCGTGTAGGTCTTCAAGCCAAACCCAACGAAAGTTATTCGTGGAAACACTTCAAAGCTAATGTTCGCTAATTTTATGACTGTTCCACTTAAACAATGTAGAACTGTCTATTCTGAGTGCTACACCACAATTTGTTTGCCTGAAGTCTTCGGAGAAAATTCTAAAAATAACAAGAGGAGAAAATCATTGTTCTCCATGATAATCCAACCACTCGAACAATGGCTCCAGTGTGGAAATTGTCGATAAATAATTTATTTTAAATCTGGTTTCTAAAAAACATTGTATAAACCTTCTTCATCACTAGTAAATACTGTTAACTTGTTCAAAGACCATAATTCCTACTTTTGCCCAAAAAATTGCAGACACAAGGTTGCACAGCATGGCCTATAGCCCCAACATGCCGAAAATTAGGAGGGACTGTTTACTATCGGCTATTTTATAATACGGGCCTATAAAGAATATTTTGTGCGAATAATATTTTGTACATCCTGTATGTGCCACCAATTCGGTGCGAAATGATGAACTGCATCAACATTTTTTTGCATATATGGTTTTATCCAGAAAAAACTTCGAATGACTAATTATGGAGACTTTGACAAATCATGGACGTCTCTGCAATATATTTTTTACCCCTGATAACCCGGAATGTATTTTTGGATGTGATATACCGAATATTAAACGGAATCTATTGGGAATATTTAAAACCATATACCCTCGAATGGATGCTTTGTTGGAATTTCGACCTATATTAATTTTAATTTTTACGTTCCAAGTAATGAAAAAATACAACCACTTCGTTGGGAAAATCCAAATACAGAAATATGGTGGTGTCATTTTATGGGGCCTATGCAAGATCCATTTCTGCGTAGAACATCGGCCAAAACTTTAAAATTATAAAAATTAGTCAATATTTCTACACTAAAAAAAACCAGAATGTCAAATTACAGGACTTTTTGGTAAAAAATATGACCAAGCTCTTCCATACGAAAAAAAAGATTGTGATTTAAAATGAAATCGGACATGATGAAATCGACATAGAATGTTATTCTGCATGTCCATCTGTAATATTTAATCACTCTAGCGTAAACGAATTGAGATAGATCGCCAAACTTTTGCCTAGAGTCGTCATTTGTCTGCAGGCAGGTCAAGTTCGAAGATGGGCTATATCGGTACACGTTTAGACATAGCTCCCATATAAGGGTATTCCTCAATTTTCGGTATTATAGGGGGTTTATCGCATATTTCAACCGAATTCGCTGAAATTTTGTACATTGTGTTCTTATTGGGTACCAAATATCTCCATTATAAATTATAAATATCGGTCCTCATTTTCTGGTAGCCCCCATATAACGATACCTCCAATTTTTAGAATTTTGAGGTTTTTGAGTGCGGTTTTCAACAGAATTTGCTGTAATTTTGTATTTTGTAGTCGTATATGGTAACAAATCTTTCTCCCAAAAATTATTTATACTCGCCCTCATTTGGGGGTAGTTCCCAGATAACACCCGTTTTTTATATGAAAATAGTTAAATGATTTGTTCCGCATTCTGAGTTTGTCTCCGTATAGCCGCATTCCACCATAATATGGGGGATATTCTTTACTCGAAATTACCAGTATGGAATTCTAAGACGATTTAGCCATCTGTGGTAATCATTCCACCCTCGAAGTATATATAATGATACCTCCTGAAGGAAAGAATTGAAATAGATAATTCCTAAACTAGGTAATCAATATTAGCCCCCTTTAGGCATAGCCTCATAAAACTTTGCAATGTAAATTGCAGTAATATAATCATTTTATACTCTTCCATGCGTTATCTGTTTTGGGGTTTTCAGATTTTTGGAAAATCGCCAACGTTTTCAATCCAATAAGAAATGTCCACTAGCTATTTTTTGCAATGTATTATAATAACGGGGCCATACGATACCCTACACAACTACCACTGAACAAAGTATGAATTTATGGTCTGAGCAATATTTAGTATATTTGACCGATTAGAGGTCAAAAGCTCCTCTTTATTTTACGAACCTTGATTTTCCCGTGTTTAACAATTACGCCATAACGTACATTCTACATAGCAAGGTCTTGGTTGATTTGACCCGCTGATATACAGCCCTCCAAATTAGTAAGCCTGATTCCAAGCCGAGAGCAACTTGAAACCAGTGAGCGGAGCAGTATAGTCGGACGGGGCCGACCATACGATACCCTACACAACTACCACGAACTCTAACTTTCTGAGGATGTTTATTCCGAGTCTGAGTAATATTTCGTGATATTTGCCCCCTCCTGTCCGATTAAAGGTTAACAACACCTCTTCCTTACTTTTTTCGAATATTCAGTACAGTCCTTCTAATTACTTGTCCAGATTACCTTCACGGTGGGTGTGTTGTGATTTTCGGATTATACTCTACTCGAAAACACACAAAAAATTATGTTTTCGGTCCATTTCATCCCAAAATTTTAATCTGATCATCACCGAAAATTGTAGGCGTTGTTCTTGACCATAACTGGAACTTCATGAAAAATTTCAAAGCCATCAGCGCGATATATCTCCCTCTAATGTGGTAATGGGTTACTAAATAATATCTGAATACATAAGCACCTGTAAATATTTGACTGTAACTCCCACATCTGAGTAGATACATCACTATATTTGGTATCAATTTAAAGGCCAACCACTCCTCTTGGATATGCTATCAACTCCTGGGGTCTACATCCTCCAGGAGTAAATATATATGCCAAAGAATACAAATTTTCTCATTTTTCACACAAAAGTCAGGGTCCATTTGACCCGCTAAATATTGACCAATCTTTATCAAAGCATGCATGCTTATTCTCTGGCCCGATCCCCTTCTCCATGCAAAAATTCGCAGTATTTGGGCCATAATTGCGGCCTCTGGAGCGACCAGAAAAACCGACAAAAATTTAGTATTTGGTCCATTTCATCCCCTAAATATTAACCGATCTTTTCCAAAAACAATAGGGGTCTTCATTGGCCAGAACCCATCCTACATGCAAAATTTCGTGAAGATTGGTCCATAACTGTGGCCTGTATCGTGTTTACAAATTATAATGGACAGACGGACGGACGGACACACATGTCTAGATCGACTCAGCTAGTCGAGATATGACGATCGGTATACTTAAAGGTTGGTCTAGGACCAATATTTCGCGGCGTTACAAACATTTGGGGCTGCACAAAGCTATAATACCCTGACAACATAGTTGTGTAGGGTATAAAAACACACTAAAATTTTGTTTTGATTTATTTTGAATATTATCTGATCATTATCGAAAATTATGAACGTCGATCTCCGTGACATTTCCGCTCCCTAGTGTGGCAATGGAATACTAAACAATATGACAATAGGTAGACCCATGTAAATATTTACGTAAAACTCCAACATTCGAACACAAATAACTATATAATCGACTCAAATAGTCGAGATATGATGATCGGTATACTTAAGGTGGATCTACGACCAATATTTCGCGGTTTGGGGGCCAAACGATGCAATAATACCCTGACAACATAGTTGTGTAGGTCATAAAAAGTAAAAAACATTTTCCAATTTGGCTCCTTCGAATATAAGTACATATTATTCACTTTCCAAGATGTTCAAGATTCCGTTCATTTAAAGTTCTGCAACCAATTTCATTTCCATATCGACACTAATTTAGTGTTTCTTACAAAATCTTTTCAAGTGAATATAAATCATTGAATGATTTGAATCGCATTCGCATTAGTTTATGCTCAAATAGATTCCAGTTTAAATGTATACTTATGGAGCCACATGCACACACAAAGACACTCATACACCTATATTACTTTATCACATCCATTGAATCTCAAGAGATTATTGATACATTGGCTGATGTCAATTGCAGAAAACAAATTGACATGAATCTGATTCGAATTGTTTTTGTATTTTTTTCCTTTTCATTGCAGTTAATGGTAATCCGGCACTGAATCAACGACCGTTTTTACAACTTGAAAGTCCCTCCGAAACGAGAGTCATAATAACCCGACCCCATATTCCTCATTATCTTTCGTGTAAGGCTACAATTGATGAATCCTACTATCAGAGTAAGTAAACGATCATGTTTGTTATATAATAATATTCACATATACGAATACGTATGTAGATGTGAGTGTGATTGTGCTTCACATGTTAATGAGAATAATTTTCTTGTTCTTCTTCTTCTACGTTCATTTGCAGATGAAACCAATTACTTTTATACATGGTTCTTCAACGATAACATCTTAAAAACTCTACCAAGAAAACTTAACGATTATTATGTCTATCGCAATGGAACGCTACGCTTACCACCTGCCGAGAAAGTTAGTGGAGTGTATCGATGCAAAATCAATGCTAACGAAACGGCGGTTATATCCGAAAGTATTACGGTCGAGTATCCTGGTAAGAAGAGAAGAAACAAAAATAAAACAACAACAACAAAAATCAATTAAAAATTCGTATCAAATACCCTTTTTTTAAAAAAAGGAGGGGTATGGTAATGTGATTAAAAGAACACATTAAGAGTTTGTGCTTTTGAGAAAAATGAGTTACCTTAAGAAGTTCTTAAACTAAATTTTATGTTTTTGGCTCTGGAACTTTTTTGACGTTGTTTTTGGCTGTGATGTGATTCGATGAAAATTAATTGTTTATTGTAATATTGTTGGCATTGGTTTAGTTCATTGAACTTTAGTTAAATATTTTAACGTAAATATGATTTTAATGTGTCAGACTATAAACAGAGGGGGAGAGGTTTGGATTCCTACCGAAGAAGGAAAAATTATTTTAAAACATTTTTGGATTCAACACATGAGGATAATACATACAAGGAATTGAAGGACCCCAACCTTTGCACAATATTTAATGAGGCATTCTTAGGCATCCATCAACTAGGGCAGGCTACAGCAGATCAATCATCTGAAATAAAAACAAGTAAAAAGTCGGAAGGGTCGATTTTTATACCTTTCACCACACTGTGGTACAGGGTATTATGTCTCTGTGCATATGTTTGTAACAGGCAAAAGGAATCGAGATATACCCATGCTTTTGCGAATATGCATAGAATCACTTTCTGAGTCGATTTATGCGAGTCGCCCGTCTGTTAATGTTAAATTGTAATCAAGGAACATGTCGCATTTATAATCCGATTTGGATGAAATTGTTACAGCTGATTTATTTGGCCCAAGGACGAACCCTATTGAAATTGGTGAAAATGTGTTCCGATTTAGATATAGCTCCCATATATATTTTCATTCATAAATGGTGCACCAAAGTCCCTATATATGGTTCGATTTGCACGAAATTTGGTATAGCCTACAAAATTAAGTCTATAATGATGTGTGCTAAGTTTCGTGAAAATCGCTTCAGATTTAGATATAGCTCCCATATATAGTCTCGTTCAATTTTAGCTAAATGGTGCACCAAAGTCCCTGAAAATCATTCGATTTGTACTGAATTAAGTCTAGAATGATATGTGCTAATGTCTGGCAAGTTTCCTTGAAATAATTTTGACCTATTCATTTTAATTGTAAACCAAGTAATCAATGGATGTCTGATTGAGATTAAATTTTAAATCGATTTACCAAATGTAGCAAAGGTTGTATAATGACATGTGTAGGGATTGATGTTAGTCGGTTTAAATATAGATAAAGATCACATATTTCAATTCGTTCCATTTCATGTCAATGTTCCAAAAAGGCGACATCTGTTAGGATACATATGTACAATATACCCAAAATGGTGAAGGGTATCATATAGTCGGCTCATTGCGACTTTACTACTTTCCTTACTGTTTTATACTCTCCATGTGGTGTGCATTTCTTAAAAAGGTCGAAAATTTCATAAGGTGACTATGACATTGTAAATTAGGTACCAGTAGACAGACACTCGGTGTAAAAATGTTCCTAAAATTAAGAGGTGCCTTTGTATTGGTGTGGTGACAAAACCATGAACCTATAGTGAAAATATTCAGGAAAAAAGTTTTTTATTCACCCGAATCCGGAATGGCAACTTACAAGAACCCTCAGAGTACTGAAAATTGTCGCGTCTCGAAGGAAGGCAATAGAACGGATCCTTTTTATTGATGCTATGTCAAAACAGAGACCTATGTAGAACACTTTCTACATTAATAAATTTACCCTGAAAGATACGGAATACTAAATTACAGCCACTTCAAAAGGGAAATGCAGATAAATCCTTCAAAATATCGAAAGAAGGTCGGTACTTTTACGTGGGAGCTTTAACCTAAATTGATAAGTTTCTCTATATCTAATTGTCAGCCTCCACAACCCACAATTAGTAGTATCAGTGGGAAGATTTGACATTCCATGACAATCCAAAATATTAATCACATTCAATTCAATTGAAAATCCTGTCCATAGTCCATGGGTGTACCGCTTTTGCCATAATCTCCATTTAGAAATGGCTTTAATTGAACAATCTAATTTTGTTGAGGGCAAATAAGCTCTTCAAAACCATTAAGGAAAGCTAAAAAGTCAGACGTCGCCGACAATATGATACCATTCGTTATAACAAGCAAATCATCGTAGAAGGCCTATTGACATGAAATCGGACAAAAATATATAAAAGGTCTTAAAAGATATATAAACCAATTTAAATCAATCCGTACGCATGTCATCGATGCAAAATTCCATGTCAATTATGCAGACTTAGAGTCTTTGGTGTACCATTTGTGTGAATTCAAGGAAAATAACGTAAAGAGCCATTCGATAGGCGGCAGCAAAGCGCGCTTTCCAAGATTTCATCTGAATCGGACAAACCTTGGATATTTAGTGCATAATTTGATGAAATCGCACAAACCCAAGTTTTCGGGTATCCCCCTTATAAAAACCAGTAAGGAATGTAATAAAGCCGGACTGGGCCGACTATATGATACCCTAAGCACACATTATTCTAGACTTAATTCAGTACGCTATACCAAAATTCGTGCAAATCGAGTTTGGTGCATCAAAGACATTTAATCGGACCAAAATATATATGGGAGCTATACCTAAATCTAAATCGATTTTCATGAAACCTAGCACACATTTTTTTTGGACGCAATTCAGTACGCTATGCCAAATTTCGTGAGCCGATTTTCATGAAACCTAGCACACATTATTTTAGACCCAACTCGAATGATTTTCCGGGACTTTGGTCCACCATTTACCTAAATATGGGAGCTATATCTAAATCTAAACCGATTTTCACGAAACTTAGCACACATCATTCTAGACTTAATTCAGTAGGCTATACCAAATTTCGTGTAAATCAATATATATATAGGAACTTTGTTGCACCATTTACATAAAATCGGACGAATGTATATATGGGAGCTATATCTAAATCTGAACCGATGTTTCCCAATTTTAATAGGGTTCGCCCTTGGGCCTAATGAATGAGCTGTGTTAAATTTCATTTTATGCAATTCGAATCAAAAATGCGACCTGTACTTTGTTTACAATTTTACCTCAACAGACGGACGGACGGACATGCATATATCGACTCAGTATGTGATTCTATACATATGGGTCTATCTCGATTCCTTTTGCCTGTTACAAACATATACACATGCACAAAGACATAATACCCTGCACCACAGTGTGGCGAAGTATATAATTAATATTGACCAAAGTTTCAGAGTGGCCCCCACTTTTGTGTGTTACTCAATCTCTCTACTACAAATGATTTCACTAGTCAAAGTTATCAATATTGATCCCCGTTTTGATACAGCCCCATAAAACGAAATAAATACATATTATAATTTGTAAACACGACACAGGCCACAGTTATGTACTAATCGTTACGACCGGTTCTGGTCAATGAAGACCCCTATTGTTGTGGTAAATATCTTCAATATTTAGGGAATTTTAAAGGACCCGAGTTGGTCCAGGACGCCATCTGCAATTTTCGGTGATAATCAGATGATATTTAGGGAATGTAGTGGACCTAAATGTGGTTAGAAGCCTAAAAATCAGGAAACTATTGAGGGTACATTTTATGAATTATGAAATGACGAATTATGAAATGACGAACGGTGCTGACTTATAATGTCAATTGGGTTGACCTAGGGACTTACATCCACCACTAATATGACAATGTATAATGTTAACTACTGGATTAATATCAAAATCTGAAACTATTTAAAGCAATTTTAACTAATGTTGTGCTAGATTCAATTCGATACACTGTGCAAAATTCTGCGTAAATCCGGAAAATCTGATATACCGTACACTGAACCAAAAATACGAAAGTACACCTTATTTGGAGCTTTAGGCGATAGTATATTAATATTTCAATCCTAAAGTGATACACAACAACATTTTTAAAATTTTACTTTATTAATTTCCTCGCATTTTAACTCAATATTCATTCAGATTTAATCATTCAGTTCTCGATTACAATTAAATGATTCGACACCGTCCAAATCAATTAATAACATTTGTACTCACTGAATACAATTTGATTGACTCTGATCGCAATGACAAAACTTAAAAACATTCAAAATGGGGGAAAAAAAATCCTTTGAATAATTTTGCACAATCCAATAATTCAATAACATTCAAATGGGTTTAATAAATTCATTCTCCAACAACAACAACAACATCAATCCATCATCAATCGATCAATCAATTTTACTCAAGCATTTGACTGTGAAATATTTTGTCAGCAAAAAAATCGTCAACTTCTCGTGTAATGTTATTAATTTCTTATTTTTTTAACCTCAAAAAAATGTTTTATTTTTGTTTTTTTTGTTTTCAGTGCTCAAACGACGACCGGCAAATATCAATTTAACGGCATTTATAGGATTAACCTACACGTTAAATTGCCCCGTATACAGTGTCCCGCCAGCGAATGTAACCTGGTTCTATGGAAATGTATCGTTATCGGAAATATCCAATGACAACAGGCGAGTATAATGGAAAGGAGACACACACACACACACACACACCCACTCACCCAAGCATGATGTTGTCAACACCTGGTGTTGTAAAGCACATACACACGCGAAACAAAAAAAAAAAAACTTTAGATTTCCCAAACAAAGGACTCTTATCCGTATCCTGCTCTTTTTTATGTCATAAAAAGTTGCTACTGGATATGCGTGAATGTGTCCGCTCTGCTTTGTTTCTTCTTGTTTTATTTTGTATCTGAACGTGTTACCCTGTTGCCTTCTTTTTCTGCTTTGGTTTTACTGTTATGGCAGGGTGTTGACGTGACCAAACCAATGTTAAAGTTGTATCGGTGTGGGTGTGTGTGTGAATGTGAGTGTTCCTGATGGCTGTTAATTATTTTCGCTCCAAACTTTAAGTTTCATATGAAATGCCCTTTTTGTGCCCCTCGTCGATTATTTATTCGGCTTTGAATGTGTGGCAGTGGTGTGAACTTATTTTTAGTTTTGATGAGTTCGAAAATTATGTAAATTTATATATGTATGTAATCGGATATTGGTTTTTTCCTCATTTACAGTTTCCTGCTCCTGTCAAATGGCAGCTTGGTATTGAGAAAAGCCCGGCAACGAAATTCCGGCAAATACAAGTGAGTATAAAACGTTACAAAAAAAAAAAAACACCACGAATTTTGTATGCAAAAAGTTGTTATGGATGAAATTGTGTATGTGTTCGATAAATGATATTTTTATTAAATTTATTAACGAATGTGGAAAATGTTAACATAACTTATTATCAAAGATATTTGCTATGATAGTATTTGTTATTGAACAAGTTTTTTTTTTTTTTGTGAAAATTGTTAATGAATACTTTTTGTGTAAAATTTGTTTTTATCGAAGAAATGTTAAAAAGGGTAACATTTTATTGAACACATGCGTGATTTTTATACCCTACACAACTATGTTGTCAGGGTATTATAGCTTTGTGCAGCCCCAAGAGTTTGTAACGCCGCGAAATATTGGTCCTAGACCCACCTTTAAGTATACCGATCGTCATATCTCGACTAGATGAGTCGATCTAGACATGTGTGTCCGTCCGTCCGTCCGTCCGTCTGTCCATTATAATTTGTAAACCCGATACAGAGTTATGGACCAATCTTCACGAAATTTTGCATGTAGGATGGGTTCTGCCCAATGAAGACCCCTATTGTGTTTGGTAAAGATCGGTTAATATTTAGGGGATGAAATGGACCAAATACTTAATTTTTGTCGGTTTTTCTGGTCGCTCCAGAGGCCGCAATTATGGCCCAAACATCGCAAATTTTTGCATGGAGAAGGGGATCGGGCCAAAGAATAAGCATGCCCGTTTTGATAAAGATCGGCCAATATTTAGCGGGTCAAATGGACCCTGACTTTTGTGTGAAAAATGACAAAATTTGTATTCTATAGCATATATATTTACTCCTGAAGGACATAGACCCAGGAAGTTGATAGTATATCCAAGAGGAGTGGTTCACCTTTAAATTGATACCAATTATATGGTCGTATGTACTCGGATGTGGGAGTTACACGTAAATATTTTCAGGAGATTACGCATTCATATATTATTTAGTAACATATTACCACAATAGAGGGGGGAAATATAACGCGGATCGCATTGAAATTTTCTATGAGGATCCAGGTATAGTCAAGTATAACGCCTATAATTTTCGGTGATGATAAGATAATAATATAGGGATGAAGTGGACCCAAAAGTATTTTTTTTTTTTTTTGTATTTTTTCGAGTCAATCTTAAGCCACAAGCCGAAAATCACAACACAACACACGGTGAAGTGAATCTGGACCAGTAGTTGGAAGGGCTGTACAGAATATTGGGATATTCGGAAAATATGTCAGTGTAAGAAGATGTTCTGTTGATCTCTAATCGGTCAAGAGGGTGCAAATATCACGAAATATAGATCAGGCTCGAAATAAACATACGCAAAAGTTAGATTTCGGTGGTAGTTGTGTAGGGTATCATATGGTCGGCCCCGGCCGACTATACTGCTTCGCTCACTGGTTTTAAATATTTATACCCTACACAACTATGTTCTCAGGGTATTATAGCTTTGTGCAGCCCCAAAAGTTTGTAACGCCGCGAAATATTGGTCCACCTTTAAGTATACCCACCTTTTAGTATACCGATCGTAATATCTCGACTAACTGTAAACACGATACAGGCCATAGTTATGGACCAATCTTCACGAAATTTTGCATGTAGGATGGGATCAACCCAATGAAGACCCCTAATGTGTTTGGTAAATATCGTTTAACAATTAGGGGATGAAATGGACCAAATACTTAACTTTTGTCCGTTTTTCTGGTCGCTACAGAGACCGCAAGTTTGGCCCAAACATCATGAATTTTTACATGGATAATTAGGCCAAGTAATAAGCATAGCTGGTTTGATAAAGATCGGTCAATTTCTGGCGGGTCAAAAGAACTCTGACTTTTGTGTGAGTAATGACAAAATTTGTATTACTCCTGAAGGACGTAGACCAGAGACCCGAGAAGTTGAAAGTATATCCAAAAGGAGTGGGTGGCATATAAATTGATACCAATTATATTGTCCTATGTACTCGTATGTGGGAGTTAGACTTAAATATTTACAGATGCTAACGTATTCAGATATTATTTAGCTTTTAAAAGTTCGCTTTTAAAAGCTCCACGTGGTTCCAGTTATGGTCAAGGACAACGCCTTTAATTTTCGGCGATGATCAGATAATAATTTTGGCATGAAATGAACCGACAACATATTTTTTTTGTGTTTTTTTCGAGTCCTACGGTGAAGGGAATATGGACAAGTAATTAGAAGGACTGTACAGGACATTAGTAATATTAGGAAAATATGTCAGGGTAAGGAAGAGGTGCTCTTGACCTCTAATCGGGCAACAGGGCGTGGATATCACGAAATATTGCCGCAAAATGTTACAGTTCCGCGGTAGATGTGTAGCGTATCGTATGGCTATACTGCTCCGCTCACTGGTTTTTTCAATGTCTACCAACAGGCGCTGATTTTTTAAAAATATTTTTTTAAAGACTGTGGATTTTTATACCCTCCACCACACTTTGGTACAGTCTTTGTGCATATGTTTGTAACATGCAAAAGGATAGACACATGGTTCCTTTTGAGAATAAGCTTAGAATCACTTTCTGAGTCGATTTATGCATGCCCGTCAGTCCGTCTGTAGATGTTAAATTGTAAAAAAGTACAGGTCGCATTTATGATCCGATTTGGATGAAATTTGGCACAAGTCACTTATTCGGCCCAAGGACGAACCCTATTGAAAAATCGGTTCGGATTTAGACATAGCTCCCATATATAGTTTCGTCCGATTTAAGGTAAGTGGGGCACCACAGTCCCTATATATCTTTCGATTAGCACGAAATTTGGCATAGAGTGCTAAATTAGGTCCACAATGACGTGTGTTAAATTTTGAGAAAATCGGTTCAGATTTAGATATAGCTCCCATATATAGTTTTTCCGATTTAATGTAAATGATGCCCCAAAGTCCATATATATATTTCGATTTGCACGAAATTTAGCATCGAGTGCTAAATTTGGTCCACAATGACGTGTGTTAAGTTTCGAGAAAATCGGATCAGACTTAGATATAGCTCCCATATATATTTTCGTCGGATTTTAAGTAAATGGTACACCAAAGACCCGATATATCTTTCGATTTGCACGAAATTTGGCATAGCGTATGAATTGAGTCTAGAATGATGAGTGGTGAGTTTCGGGAAATCGGTTCAGATTTTGATATAATTTTCGTCCGATTTTTTGTAAATGGTGCACCAAACTCTTAATGTTTGTGCGATTAACACGAAATGTTGCACAACGTATCACATTGAGACTTGTCCCAAGGTACACAAACGACTCTTAATCTGCCCGAATAAAATTAAATTTAGCATAGGTTGTAGAAAGACATGAGTATGTTCCTTCGATGTTACATTGACATACAATTGTAAGGATACATATGTACAATACAGCCAAAGTGGTGAAGGGTATCATATAGTCCGCCCAGTCCGACTTTACTACTTTCCTTACTGGTTTATTAAACCAAAATATATTTTCTCTCCCATTGCAGATGCGTTGCACACAACAGTTTTACCTCAAAGAGTCATCGACAATTCCTGATGACTCTCAGCGTTGTGCATGGCGAAGGCAGGACACTAAACAATGCTCAACTAATACCTCATCTACAGAACACAACGCTATTTGTGCCAACTGGTGGAGATTTAAATTTAAGCTGTTGCGCCTTAACCGATGATGCGACAATTGAATGGTGGTTTCAGCAGACTTTCAGTTCGCCATGGATACGTTTGGCCAACAACAGTAAGGAGTACCATATACGATCGAGTATCGATGAATATGAAGGCTACTACACCTGTTCGACGGCCTATAGTAATCAGACATTTCATGTTATTGTCACGACACCGCCAATGGTGGTGGAAGAGTTGGGTGTCAAAGATGGCATTATTGCTTCGCCGATCACCTATAAATGTCTAGTCACGGGAAATCCACGTCCCATTATAACCTGGTATCATAATGGCGCCCAATTTAGTAGTTCATTTACGCGCTACATTAATGGTAATGAGTTGTTGATACCCTCATTTGATCCCGAGGAGAATGGTATATATCAGTGCTTTGCGAGAAATGTGGCCGGTGAAGTTTATACAGCTGGAGAAATAAGGCTGAAAAATAAGGGAGATGAGAAACCGAATCCGCTGAGAAATATACGTTGCTTTGCACACACCTTTAATTCGGTTAATGTGACATTTGAAACCGATGCATCGGTGGTAAGAGGGATTGGGAATTTTTTGTTTGTGAAAAATAATTATTTTGTTTTTATTTCTAGTCTCTTTTTATAGTCCACATTGTGCAAACGAATCCCTTTCGTTGGATCTCTCCATATTCCCCGATGAAATTGAACGCCTCCTATGTTGTGATCGACAAACATTTACCATACATTAAACCCTTTGAATTGATAACTCGGGTTCTAATGTCTACCTCGGAGATAAGTGTGGGTATTGATCGTACTCAGCATACGATACAGAGTACGCTGAGGAGTCAACCGGTGACCTGTTGTACACAAGGATGTAAGTATATTACATTAAGGTTCCCTCTGATGCCTCCAAAATAATTTGTATTTTCTTCTCTTGACAGTACCTCCCCGCATTGTACACTTCGGCAATAATACCTTTGTCACCTGGTCTCTGACGGATTTCAATAATGAGAAATATTTCATTGTGCAATTTTCAACGAATTACACTCAACCCGCTCCCGAAATCCTTCTCAGCCCGGATTTATTGGGCACAATGCAACATGTTAATTTAACATTGCAGGATATTAGTCATAAGCTGACCCGCATATATCCTCTGAATATGATGGAATCCCGACGGGTATTAAAAAATGCCATTACAAGTTATGGTGATAATGATGTCAGTATGCCAGATGATCTTGAATCGGATGAGGATATTTATAGCTTAGTGCTACATGCCAATGTTACGGGTTTAATGTTATCGAATTTTACACGTCTCAAGTTAAGGATATTGGTAATAACGACGGATAATGAAAATTTAGCACAGGATTTTCGTTATGTCGAATGGAAAACGGTAATTATTTTGATATTGAATTCAATATAAATAAGAAATTGATTCTTAAAAAAGCTGAGCATGTACCACGCTGTAGTATTTATTTTCTGGATATTCTTAGATTTACTGCCTGAGTCAATTTATGAATGACAGTTCGCTTGTTTTTCCACGTACATGTGTAGGATAGAACACATTATATTGGATCAAGAACAAGCCCCTATAGAATTTACTAGTAATCGGTTGGGATTTTATGTCCCAAAGACCTATCTATGACACGAAATTTAGCATAGCGTAATAAGTTAAGTCGAGAATAAAATATTCAACGTATTTCCAATTGGAACGGAATTTTTATGGACTTCCAACTTCAAACAAGAATGACATGAGTTAAGTTTTGTTGAAATTTGCTAGAGGTTTAGATCAGTTCCGATGTATAGATTGTCCGATTGACTCGAAATTTATCACATACATTGAATTGACCCGGAAATAATTATAGCCCTAATTTTTTGGAAATGTTATCATTTCTACCTTATCTAATATTGTCTGATTTCAAGTAAATGATGCACAAAACACCCTATGGCTTTCCGAATGATATTAAATTTTTCACATGGTTCTGAAATAAATATAAAATCCTGTAATATTTAAAGGAGTCCCCAAACGGACTAAAAAAAATACATGTCTTTCTCTTGTATGACCTTGAATATTTGGGATGGCCAATGTTTTTTTTCGTATGACCTACGTTAGGTTAGGATATTGACAAAGGATTTTTTTTTTGGAAAATCTATGTTTTGGGCTCAAATCAAGTTGAAGGGAGATAAAATTATGTTCGGCCCGACCGACCTTTTAAACCCTCCACCTTTTCAAATTTCGTTAAAATATCGGGACCCTCCGACTTTTTGCCAATGTAAATTGTCTGAGGCAGGTTTTTATTCTATAGTAAAGTCGGACTGGGCCAACAATATGATATCCTTCACCACTTTGAGTATATTGTACATATGTGTCAAGGTCCAATCGAAGGAACATACTCAAGTCTTTCTTCAAACTATGGCATTGTTTGCCGAGGTTCCCTTAGTTTTTTGTTGGGATATTCTCCCCAGAAGCTATTGCTAAATTTAATTTCATTCGGACAGATTTGACCAACGACATAAACTGCATGAGAATTTCGCTGGAGCCTCACTTCGACGTAAACAAGGCATTTACAAACAATACCACACCTTTCCCACTGTTGTGTGTTGCATGCCAATTATGGAAAACGATTTATAGCAAAATTGATACACCCTATTCGGTACTTCACAATGTTAAAAATGTTATCTCAATGAGACACCCGTTCGAAATACATATGTAAGCTATGGCTGCAACTGCAACAATTTCAACAAAATTAAATAACGTTATTTCAAGTCTTAAATATATATGAGAGATATATCTAACTCTGAACCGATTTTCACGAATCTTTTTACTCATCGTTCTAGACTTAATTCAGTACGCTATGCCAAATTTCGTGCAAATTTAAAGTTATATAGGAACTTTGGCGCAACATTTATATTAAATCGGACGAAAATATATATGTGAGCTATATCGAAATCTGAACCGATTTTACCGAAAATTACCTCTCATCATTCTAGACTCAATTCAGAACGCTATGCCAAATTTCGTGCAAATCGAAGAATATACAGGGACCTTGGTGCACCATTTACATAAAATCGGACGAAAATATATGTGGGAGCTATATCTAAATCTGAACAGATTTTGAAGAAACTTAACACATATCACTCTAGACTTAATTCCGCACGCAATGCCAAATTTTGTACAAATAGAAAGTTATATAGGAATTTTGGTGCACCATTTATGTTAAATCGGACTAAAATATATATGTGAGCTAAATCTGACCCGATTTTCTCGAAACTTGACACACGTCATTCTAGATTCATTTCAGTACGCTATGCAAAATTTCGTGCAAATTGAAAGTTAAATAGGGAATTTGGTGCACCATTTATATTAAATCGGACGAAACTATATATGGGAGATATATCTAAATCTTAACCGATTTTCTCGAAACTTGGCACACATCATTCTGGAACTAATTCAGTACTCTATGCCAAATTTCGTGCAAATCGAAAGATATATAAAGACTTTGGTGCACCATTTACCTTAAATCGGAAGAAAATATATATGGGAGCTATATACGAACCCATTTTCTTCAATTTCAATAGGTTTCTTCAAATCGGATCATAAATGTGACCTGCTCTTTGTTGGCAATTTAACATCTACAGACGGACGGACGGACATGCATAAATCGACTCTGAAAGTCATTCTATGCATATTCTCAAAAGGAACCATGTGTCGGTCTCGTTTGATTTTGCCTGTTAGAAACATATTCACAAAGACATAACACCCTGTACCACAGTGTGGTGAAGGGTATAAACATTTCAACTGTATATTGGTTAATGTTTCAGTGTAATGTCCATAGGAGCGTATAATAGTTGTCTGCTTGTATACGCCCCCTCGCCAATATTAGAGAGTTTTTAATGAGAAAAGAAGAACTTCGAAATCTGATTTAAAGATATCAAAAAATATTCTCCATATAAATGAAAAAACCCCTATCAACTCCATTTTCGGAATAAAATTATAATAAACATTTACAAATGTAAAGGAAGTCAATTTAGGTCTCACTGCCCGGTTCATGATTCCAGTTGACAGATACATTTTCATAGGTACGACATCCTGTCCATAGATGAGACATAACATATGTAGAGGAACATTGACATGGAATAGAACGAAATTAAATGTGTGAACTACATAGTTGTATGAAGTAATTGAAATCAAACCAAAACATTCCTAAATCTAAGCAAAATTAAAAAAAGTATATGCGATCTAAATCTGAATCGATTTTTGCCAATTTCAAAGGGGGTTTTACTTGGGCTACGTAGATGAGGAGTACCACCTTTTATATAATTTGGATCATTATTGCTGGCGACCTATACTTTTTTCACAAGAATATAATTTTGGTAATAAAAATGTATATACTTTTCAATGTTTCAGAACTATTTCGAACAAGATAAATGCTCAGGTGTACCCTGAAATCTTTTAAAAAATCCTTTAAAATATATGTGTAAGAAAATTGTTTATTAATTTAACAAAATTATAATAATTATAAACTTTCCTACGTTCTAATACCTAATTATCCTTTCCCTTCATTTAGGTTGTCAACGACACTGGCGAGACCATTGCCACACCCTATCACCTCACCATCGTTGAATCCCGTATGTTGCAATTTCATTTTCAGGAAAGTTTCAATGAGACTTGCGTACAAGTTTGTCATCTACAAATCCATTATCCACGCATAATAAAAGACGAAAGAAAATGTGAACATCGAACCATTATCAATTCCGAATTAGAAGTTACAAAACTGCGACCGAATACCCATTATAGTTTTCATTTTTCAAGTTGTGATACAAATCTATTCTATGGTCAATTAGATGTGGTTACACTGCCAGATCCCCCCGGTACGATAAGTAATCAACGAGTGACGCGGCATAATGGTTTGAAATTGAATTGGGATCCACCGCTGCAACCGAATGGGAAAATACATCATTACAATATCCTGTGGACATTGGGTAATGTGACGCATGAGACGAATGTAATGGAGTGTGCCGTGTGTTTTTATAAGGTAAGGAGGATAAAAATAAGATATTGAGAGAATTGAAATAATGACATTTTTTTCTTCTAGTTTCCAAATATATCGGAGGAGGCCAAAATCAACATTTCGGTACGAGTGGTGGGTGAAACTGGCGTGGGAGCCCCAGTTTCAATTGATTTGCGTAATATTAATCATCGAACCTTGGAAATTGAAAGTTCCGGATCCACTACCGAGGTTTATAGTGGCATTGCCATTGGCTCTTTGTTGTCAATATTTTGCATCTTTGGCTTTGCCTTGCTGATTATGTTCCAACGTAAACGTTTCAAGGCCCGTCAACATGGACCCACCCACCTCTCAACGCCTACAGATATACATTTCGGAAATCTAAGTAACATTAATCTGCCCAGTGGCAGTGCTGGAGGCCTCAGCTCCAATACCATGCCTCCGGATTCACATGAAATGCAAACCCTCATCCCAAAGGCCATGGCCAGGCATTTGGATATTTTGGCTGGCGATCGCGCCCTTTATGAAACCACTCAGCTTGCCAATGGTGGGGGTGGAAATGGCGGTATTGGTGGTGGCAGTGCCTATGTGGTACGCCCAAGCCTCGAGAGTATGGAAAGTTCAAATAATGCTTCCATTCTAAGTGGATTTTATATAGGTGCTGAACATAATCTCTCATCCATTCCATTGTGTCAAATAAGTCCACAAAAGAAATCAAAGGGTAATGGAAATGCTGGTGGAACATCCGGACACCAGGATAGTAATTCGAATAAGCCGTTTTTTATACCCTTCAAGAATACAGCACCCAGTATTGTGGGCTTAACGTCATCGTCATCACAAAAACAAAGTTCCTCTGCTTTTGCTGCCAACAGTGGTGTACCGCCAAATTCCATTAGCCTGGCCGCTGTGCCGGTCGAGAGTATTTCCACGGTCTTTGGTGGCACACTGCGCAGTAGTAATTTAAGTCGTAGTAATAGTAACGGCAGTAGTGCCACAAATTCCATAAAATCAAAACAGTTCCATGCTAATTTTCCCAAACATTCCACTTCGATTGATGGCATTTGTCTATTGGATGAGGAGGAGGCGGCGGCCACAATAACACCCACCACGGATGCGGATGTTACGGGTGAAATTTTGAGAAATGGATTTCACATGAATGGAGAGGTCAGTGCGAAATAGATTATGGAAAATGGAATAATGTTTTTGTTCGTTTTGTTTTTTCTAGGATCATCGTTTAAGTGATATTGCAGCAAGCCAAAATACCTCATCGTTTATAACAGGGATGACCAACTCTTCGCCACCAAAGCATTCAAATCATTCAAACAGCAACAACAATTCCAAACATAAAAAATCTACGAATTTATCGCGAAAGAAAACAACACCTCAACTGACACCTGCATTAGAATTAACTGCCACAACATTGACAGCAACACCGTCGACCACAAAGCCAACGGCGAATGCTCGTCCAAAAAGTACAGCATTTATAGTTCCTGCCAGCATAGGCGGAGGTTCATTGGCATCAATGCAGGCGGCAAACGCCGCTTCATCGTCACCCTCATTGCTGAAGGCTCAAAAGCCACGAAATTCAACAAATCTCACAGCCAAATCGAAATCATCGACAATGGAGACAAATTTTCGCCATTTGGATATGGATCCGAATGGCTGAGAAGAGCAAGGAGAAGAAAAAGCATGATTTTAATTCTATAACTTTAGTTTTTTATATATACACATAAAGAAGATGTCTGTTTTGAACACAATGATATTTGGAGTAAATTGTGGAAAATCCTCATAATTGTTTTTAAGAATTCTCCCTGAATAGGGCTGCAAATTTTAGGTTTATTTTTAATTTCTCCCAAAAAAAAACAGGAATCGAAATTTAATAATATACATTTTAAAAATTTCATTTATATAAAAAGATTACTCCGTGTATTGAAAACAACTTCTGTTTTCAAAAAATTTCCAAATTGCAACCTTTTTAAGCTCTGCAGTTCATAACACAGTGATACGTAAATTATACACAAAATATTAAAAAAAAACATAGAAATTTAGGAGCGGTGTTTTATCGACACAACTCATTTAACATTCCAAATGTATACATTTTATAAATGTACACACATACATATATTTCATAAGTCCATTAGAATCATACCCTATGTATCTAGATATTGCACCTTCCCCCCACAGATATATTGTTTTATTTATTTTATAGAATGTATCTTGTATTTATTTACCAAGCCCATAGAAAAAATCAAGTCATTTCGAAAACAATTATATAATTATTCAATGTTACAATGGGTTAATAATTGTGAATACCTCCGAAGAAGGACTGCATTGATAATTATCGGGAAATAAAAAAATCAATTAATTGGAAATTCGTAAGGGAAACCTATATCTAATAGTTCTATGGAACTATTCCGCTAAAAGGAAAGTATCAATCTACTTTAAGTGGACCCCTCATTCTCGGTGTAAAAACTCGTATTTTATCTTTTATTTATTTTCAACCCAAAACCTCTTAAGAATTTCTCTAAAATTTCAAGTGAAAATTTCAACAACTCTTGAAGATATAATCGATTTAATGGGTAAGCGACAGATGACAGCGAGAACGTTTCTCAACACTTGAATATGTTTTTCTCGAAAGAGTGTTTTACGATTGGCTGGCATGATAACTCAAAAACTATTAATGCACTCAGTTTCAAATTTTAACAAATATGTATCGTATGAAATAGAATAAATCCAATCGGTGAAGATCTTTCCTAGTTTCCAACGTACTTTATGAACGAAAATAGGCGATTTTCGAAAATATTATTTTCCTAGGACTTCCATTTTTATACCCTCCACCATAGTATGGAGGGTATATAAATCTGTTTTCCCATTTGTAACTCATCGAAATAATCATTTCTGACCCTATAAAGTATATATTCCGAATCAGCGTAGAATTCTACGACGATTTAGCCTCGTCTAAACGAATTGAGATAGATCCCCAAATTTTTTCATAGAGTCGTCTTTTGTCTGCAGGCAGGTAAAGTTCGAAGATGGACTATATCGGTCAACGCTTAGGCATAGCTCCCATATAAGGGTACCCCCAATTTATTTTGGGGTATTTTTTAGTTGGGGTTCTTGTGAGTTCTTGAGTGCGTTTTTCAACAGAATTCGTTGAAATTTAATAAACTGGGTTCTTATTGGATACCAAATTTTCCCACTAAAAATTATAAATATAGGTCCACTTATTCGGACTGAATTTTTCCCTCGAATTATCTGTAATTTTGTATTTCGAGTTCATAATAGGTACCAAATCTCTCCACAATCATTATATACATAGGTCTATTTTTTGGGTAGCCCCAATATAAAGGTACCCTATAATTTCGGTATTTTGGGGTTCTTGAGCGCGGTTTTCAACCGAATTCGCTGTAATTTGGTATTTTGTAGTCGTATATGGTAACAAATCTCCCTACCATAAATGATTAATATTCACCCCCGTTTTAGGGGTAGTCCCCATATAACACCCTTTTTTATACCCTTCACCCCAGTGTGGTACAGGGAAATATGTCTTTGTGCATATGTTTGTAACAGGCAAAAGGAAACGAGATTGAGAATATGCATAGAATCACTTTCTAAGTCGATTTATGCATGTCAGTCGGTCCGTCTGTCTGTCCACATTATATTGTAAACAAAGTATAGGTCGCATTTATCATCCGATTTGGGTGAAACTTGGCATAGCTCATTTATTTGGCCCAAGGCTCATTTATTTCGTCCGATTTAAGGTAAATGGTGCAGCAAAGTCCCTAAATATATTTTGATTTGCACGAAATTTGCCTTAGCGTACTAAATTAAGTCTAGAATGATGTGTGCTAAGTCTCGTAAAAATCGGTTCAGATTAAGATATAGGTCCCATATATATTTTCGTCCGATTTAAGGTAAATGGTGCGCCAAAGTCCCTAAATATCTTTCGGTATGCACGAAATTTGGCATAGCGTACTAAATTAAGTCTAGAATGATGTGTGTCAAGTTTCGTGAAAATCGGTTCAGATTTAGATATAGCTCCCATATTTATTTTCGTCCGATTTAAGGTAAATGGTGCGTCAAAGTCCCTAAATATATTTTGATTTGCACGAAATTGGCCGTAGCGTACTAAATGTAGTCTAAAATGATGTGTGCTAAGTTTCGTGAAAATCGGTTCAGATTTCGGTATACCTACTATATATTTTCTTCCGATTTAATGTATATAGTGTACCAAAGTCCCTATACATCTTCCGATTTGTACGAAATGTAACATAGCGTGTTGAATGAAGTCTAGAATGATGTATGTGTGTTAAGTTTCCTGAAAAACGATTCCGATTTAATGTAAATAGTGTACCAAAGTCCCTATATATCCTTCGATCTGCACGAAATTTGGCATATATATTTTCGTCCGATTTTACACAAAATTTTCCACACCATACTGAAGTTAGTATAACCTAGAAGTTAGATATAAATGCTGCACCGAACACCCCAGGTGGGTCCGATTGGCACAAAATTTTGCAAAAGCTACTGAAGTTCTATAACATAACGTATGGCAAGTTTTGTTGAAATCGGTGCAGATTTAGATATAGCTCATATATAGTTTCGTCCGATTTTAAGTAAAAGTTTCACCACAGACCCAAAGTTAAACCCTATGCTACCAAATTTTGCACAACGTACTGAAATTAGTATTGCCTAAGGTTTGCCAATTTTTGTAGGAATAGGTTCAGATTTAGATATAGCTCCCATATATAGTTTCGTCCGATTTTAAGTGAATGATGCACCAAGAACTCAAAATCTGGCCGATTTGCACAAAACGTACTAACCTAACCTGTGACAAGTATCGTATTGGTTTAGATTTCGATATAGCTTTTATATACTCATATTTTTCAGATATTTATCCTAATAATCAACGGGAGTACGATTGACATTTGCCTTAAATTGATTTACATAACTTTGTCCCATTGTAAGAAGCAACTCTAATATGGTATGGGTTGCAGAATGGCTTGTTTATGGACCCAATTTCATGTTAATGATCCTTCAAAAATGCGACGTCTGTTATGATTCATCTGTTGAATATACCCAAAATGAGTAGGGTATCATATAGTCAGCCCCGTCCGACTTTACTACTTTCCTTACTGGTTGGTATAGCCCCATAAAACTTTACCTTCCAAATATAAGTATTTTGTATACATGTTCCCCAACCTGACCATGAGTTATAAATATTTGAGATTTCATGAAAAATATCTATTTCAAGTTTACCGAAGTCTATATTTCGTGTGCATTCGTTTAGGGTAGGGTATATACCCTTATAATCCCGCCCTTTATGGGTTAAAAATTTCATTGTAAATAAATGTCTGTACAATATGGTGTATACTTTAGGAAATTTGCCGTCGAAATTTGCTGCTTCTGGTCTACAGTAGTGTCTATGATATCACATTATATACATAGGTTCATTTATATTTAATTTAATGTCCCCTATCTAAAGATCCCAACCAATTTTTGGTTTAATAGGAGTGTGATAAGCAAAGGCTCTAAGTTCAATTTATAACATATAGCTGGCTGATTTTTGTCTCTGCTGTAAATTTTTGAACTACGGACTTAATGTCTTTACATGTTAAACCAGCGATTTACGGCTACGCACAAATGTGGCTTTAGACTCCATGTTTCTTTTTACCAAATCAGTTTCAGACAATTTGGAGTAGATTTCTAAATGCCCATCCATCAGTTTGGCTGGTGGGCACGATAACTCTCGAAAGTTATATTGATTTTCATGATCTTTAGCTTGAAAGTTATTTTTTTGCAGGTTTCGAACAGATATATTGTTGATTATTGACTTTGAGAATGCATTAAACTGATTGGGCCCAAGATGAGTCATAACCTTCGAATGCTGATTATTACTTTTTTATAGTTATTTACTAATAAAATATTCAAGTTTTAAAATTAAATTTAAGATTTTGAAGAAAAAATCTCAGGCATTATGTGGGTTAAATGAACGAGTATGCAGTTTCTTTCCTACTTCCAGGAGTTTTCGGAGAGGGATAGTTTTCTTGATATTCACAAGTTTATTCACCCATTACAACAGTGATTTAACATGTTTATTAATTTGTTTTTTTTTTTATTATAATTTTATTATTTCGTATTTATTCATAATTTGCACTTGATCGAGGCTAATTGTTATAATGTTTGCATTTTAAGTTTTTTTATATATAATTTCAATTATTTAATTTAATTTTTGTTTTAATTTCTTTTACAGTGATATTTTATTCAATCACACAAATGCAATAGCCCAATACCAAAACCACACTTGCGTTCACATACATTGTAATGCAGATCGATATGATAGATCGATATTTAACAATTTTCAATCTAGCTATAAATATGTTTATTGTAGTACTTTGATGCGTATAAGTGTTGTCATAATGTATACGACATCAATCAGTAGAAATATGAAAAATTAAAAAATAAATTAAAAATTGTCATTCGCTAACACGGAATCGTAAAATTAAATTAAAGTTATTAAATTTTTTAACTTAATTGGAACAATCGCATTATATTCATCTGCGAAATCAAAAAATCTATTTTAAACTATCGATCGATCTGCATATCACACCCATATACTTCCATTACTACCCAAAGAAAATAATCACCACACTGCAATACAATAGC